GCCGACAGACTGATCTATCCATGCTCAAATCACTTTAAAGAGGCAAACTAATACTTATTACGACACGTAGAGGTTCGCTAAAAAAGGATTTAAAAAACCATACCCCAAGGGAGTTCAACAGGAGTTTAAGTCATGTCATCCAAGTGAAATCGCAGTCGGAAAGCTATAGTATATATACATACATATATACCTCTAAGCCATCATAGGTATATTTATTGTCGCAGCCACGCATCGCTGTGGGCAAATGGAATTCACGTAGCCACTGAAATTCTGATCTACGCATTACAAAATAAGGTTTGAACTACGAATTATATAATTCGGAGAAATTTGTATCCCTTATTCAGTCTATTCAGAAGCAGAACTTCCAAGTCTTGTGCTCAGTTACAATATTATAATGTACCTCTATCATAATTTTCATAGTAGTCCTTTAGTCAACATCTCGCATCAAATTCTTAAATTAATTGAGGGTCAAAGGCGCTGTTAATAATTATACGATATCATTGTAGTAGATAATATCTTCGAGGTCAATGGAGACCATTTTTAACACTAATAAGTAGTTCCGTTTTGCATCGATCTGAATAGACAAATTGTCAAACTACTATGAGATGACCGATGGCCCGTGACGTCTGGGTTGCCTCATTATGACCCGTTTTAGACCACATTCTTCCATCTAAGTACTGTTAGATTTTTATATCCCTACTTCGATTCACAGTATTAAAATTTAAAAGAACACACCATTAAATAACGGCCATTATTCGTCACAGTGGTATTTAAATTATTCATTAAATTCAAAATTGTTGCGCATATATAGACAATTTTTTTTATATAAACATCGAATTCCTACGCGTTCTAGAACGTCTGTGATATTCAAATTTAAATCCAGTCAAGGTCCTGAGTAAATTTTTATTCGGATCAATATAGATTAAAATTTTATTATATTTATACATAATCATCTAAATAAATGGCGATTTAATCTAACACGAATAATATTGCAGAATGCATATAAAGACATTAATCGCTAACCTGTCAAGCATACTGAATGCAAGATTAATAATAACACTGTAACACATCATTAACAAGAACCATATTATTGAACTAATAAAAACTCATCTTAACGAATGATTTCCTTGTCAAATCTACACATATTATGAACTTATTTATGTTTTAACGCATAATTGTTACAATAACAACCAATAACTAAACTCAATTTCAAGTTGATTCAATCAAAAAAAAAATCAGTTCGCAAAACAACAGAATAAATTATTTTTGTTGCTATAATGAGAAATGAGAGCGAATGACAGACACTGGAATCGATCACGGAGTCTCCAACAACAGATAAAGTAAACTGCGAACTAACCATTCGGGTTCATACTTTCAATTTTTTTGTTAGATTCACACAAATCAAAGTTAAAACTGTCAATGATAGATTATATCTTTTAGTGATGATTGCGATTATAAGTCTTCAAAATATTTTGCTCTATTTGTAAATTTTAAAGCATGCCCAAATAGAAACAGAAAACATGATACGTGTCTCTACTAATAGGTATGCTTTAAGTACACACGACATTATCATTTACATATACACGAGTTATAAAATGACGGATGTATCATTCATTATAATAAGAGAATGGTCATTTTGCATGTTAAATATAACATCGACTTTAACACTCACATAGAAAATATGAAAATTTTAATTCATTGGAATTATGGAAGCGTGCGAATGTCGCGCGATAATCATATGGCTTTTGATCCGACCGAGTAATCTGAATTTCAAAGAAAAAAACAAAACCTACATTGATCAAGTAACTGTATAAAATTGTGCTGAAATGGACATTAGCTTTTCCTAATTTGACATTTACTATATATATTATATATATATATATATTTATATATAAGTTGGCATAAAGGCAGAATTGCCAACTGTTATTGTTAAGGTTTTGAAAGGTCACGTTGGAGGACTACAGCGTTGTGGGTCACGTGTTGATAGCATTTAACCAGTGCTCATGTCCACACATCCGTTAGACCGCACGTGCTGCATTGTGCGATACAGCGCATAATTAATCCAATCCGTAAAGATACGAAGGACGCATGGAATGTATTAATATTAAACAGGACATACAAAGTTCTTGGTGGAAATATATTCAAATGTATGACTTTCGTCCCAATACGATAGTCAAAAACTACCGAAGAAATTTTTTGCGGTTTGCACAAACTGAAGAAGTGATTCGTGTGGACAAATTTGGTTTTTAATCCATTATAATTTTATACAAATGGGCTAAATTATAACAATGATTCTAGAAGATGTATGCGAGAAAATGCAGATTTGATAGAAAAAAAAATGTCCACAAATTCTGAACAGATTATCCTAAATAAAAAAAAGGCAATTCCACTATTATTTTCAACAAAATTACTACATACTTCACAACAACTATTAATAATACTTATTGCAAAAAATGTAGCTTGCAATTTCATAAAATTTTCTAAATATAAACAAAAAAATACACCACTGAGCGGAACCGTCACGAAAATTGGCTAATTGTACGAGAAACTCCAAGCAATTGTTTCTCCATAACAAAACAGGGACACTCAAACTATTCAACTGCAATCCCGTAAAATTTTGTGTCCTTTGACGTTTAGATTGGTATCCGCTTACTGTGAAATGTTCCTACGTTGATATTTGCAATGTCACAAAGTTAGGAGATCCAGACATAGATTACGTGACCACGATAAATACTTCGCTCAATTAAATGTTAATACCAATAATTAATGTACATACCATTGCACGAGTATTTAGTAATCCATTGATTTTGAGTTATAGCTAAACATAACTAATATAAAAATCCATTTCAATGTTTCCAAGAATAAATGTCACCATGATACTCTCACATTTTACTTTAATTATAATATAATTATATCAACACGTGTCATAAACTTCTCACTCAGCGAAAGTGTTGGGGGTTTTAGCATGTCAGTTATCTCGGTTAGTAATAGCAGACCACAAAACCGGTTTAGTACAATTTATGAAATAATTTTGCAATTTGAGCATGCTCAGCGTGTACCCACGATGGTTTAATAGGCAAACCAATCGCTTGTTACTCCATACTACGTATATCACTGCATTAAAAATATTTTTCCTGTAATATTATTTGCAGAAATCATACATTTTTTTTTTCAATTGCGCCTGCGCAGATTAATTGAGCACATTATCTAACGAACCCTAAAAAGGAGGTAACAAATTGAGTGGTCTCAATAAAACGACCTCGCATTTACTATAAAAGAAATGTGTTATGATACAGCTGCCGAAAATGCCTATCCATCATGTTATCAAAGTAACAAAGAGGACCGTGAAGCGAGCAGAACTGAGATTTATTGCAACAGAGGCCGACAGAACGAGACTGCAAATAAAGAGAACACGGACCTTGAGAACGATATCTGACAAAATCAATCGGACTCCGCGCAAAACTTGACCTAATATTGTAATTGATGAAACAGACTCGAGTCCCGTATAATGGACTGGTAAATATCAAATATTGAGACCTTATGCTTCCATATTCATACACAAAGATCGATTATTGATAAACAATAATAAATACATTACAGATATTTTGATTTCATAACCATCAAACGGTTAACACGATACTATTAAAGCCAACATTAATTAATCATAGCACTACGATGGATATAGTGTGATGAAATGCTAAATCCTCATTGACTCAGAATATAAAGCAATTATCGAGGATAAAATTGCAGAAAGGAATTATTGAACGTAATCCCACTAAATCCTAATCGTACCTATATTTTCGAATAATTTTGTTATTATCTTACGTGGCATCATATTTTTTTTTGATAAAAACTCTTTAACCGTTTTATCTTAGATAGGATTTTAAATCAATAATAAATTAAATTCTCGTCTTGAAATTAAATTTAATTAAATTTAATTCTCTTGTAATTAAATTAAATTAAATTAAATGAGAATTTAATTTAATTTATTTACTAATTGAATAAATAAGAATTTACTAAAAATAGAACAGCATTCTACTTTTCCTTCGCGCTGTGTTAAAAGAAATGTAATATTATAAAGTCAGTATTACCGTTCTCGTTTAATTTTACTAATGTGTAGGCGCTTGCCTTACATAAGCATTGGGTGTAGTCCAATCAATTTATTGTGATTCGAGTTTAGAATACATCAGAGATTAAATAAACACATTTGCAAAGTATAAAAATATACCAGTTACGTAAATTGTTGTTTTAAAACGGACATGATATTGAAATGACAAAATAATCAAAGACAAGACGAGGAAGAGTTTGCGATTATACTGCGCGCTTTCGATAACACCCACACAAATTGCATTACATTGCACAACGAAATACGCATTAAGTAGGTCTCTTCAGAAATTCTTAGTTTAGAAAATAAGACCTTTCAACACTAATTTTGTAACACGAACGGTAAACAAAGGATCCGTTTTAAAAATAGTTTTAAAATGTACCGACTAAAGCACAGCTGCTTTGGAATGATTTGATTTACTTAACTCCTAATATTTTATTTATGGAACTGATTCGCAAATTGAAAACTTTTGATGTATGATTTATTTATTACGAACTTCACTTGCATAAAGTAATTAAAATAGATAATTGTTAACGCAGTTAGTTAGGAAATCAATGTCAAGAATTACTAGGTGTCCTTTAAGCAAAGTCACATGCATAACATTATGTAGATTAAGTAACGAAGAAGGACTTAGATACTGACCCATATATGAATATCCATGAAGTTTAGTAAAAAAAAAAATCTATGGCCGAGTAGGAAATAATGTAATGATGTTGAATAATTTAAAATTGAATCGTACTATACGCCAAAGACGTACAATTTTGTAGTTGACGAATAAAACTTTAATAAAACAACAATTGACACTGTAAAGACAAGGTAGTTCCCAAAGTCAATTTTACAACAAAAAAATGTTCTGTGAAAATATATTAAGATTTGTCTTGTCATTTAATTACAGATCTCATCGCAAGAGTGGCACATACCAAGACCGTCCTTATCAGGCAGCACAACAAGTGGCAGTATCAGTGATACCCGATCTCGTGGTGGCTCGGCTTCCAGTCAAGGATCATCGAGCAATCACAGCACCCATGTATGATCATTTGTTAGAAGTACGGATGTAGTCAGTAAACAAAAATAAATACATATAATTTTCTTTTTCTGGTAGTTTAATATACTATTACTGATAATCACACTTTTATGCTTTTTATATTTATAATATTGCTTAAATTAATTATAAAAAAACAAATGTGTTATACTCGTTGTCACATGACCGTAAACATCGTGTGACGTCACGCCGCTCTTATTCATGTCAGAACATAGAGAATTAAACCTTATCCATAGATAGAACGATATTAGTTTGAGAGGGCCTTGACCTCATAGCGACGACAGAAGTTGGCGTTTTCGCGGGAAATTTTGAAAGCTAAATTTATTTTTAAAATTTAGCTTATTTTATGAATGATCTTTTTTTAAAGAAAAGACTTCATAATAGTGATTTATCTCATTAAATAAAATTTTACTTCAAAAGAATATCCCAAAGCTCTTATATGTCAAAATGATTGTTCGAAATTTCGTAACCCTTTCGTTTTGTGTATTTCCTTTTGAAGTTTTCGACCTTTCGATTACCTTGATTTTGGCTTCATATAAAATAGGAAGCCAAAATCAGTAAATAAGCCACAAACTATAATTTTAATTTAGGTATACAATGGAAACTTAATTATCTAGATCTTTATTACAACAAAAACCACCCAAAATCTTTCACGCCTTAGACGACTTTGAGTAGCATCGACCTCAAGAGATTTTTTTTTATCAGTTTTTGCGAATTAAACTATTTTCTGACAATGAACATGACCAAGTAACCGATTAAAATTGCGGATCCAAACAAGATCCGGATGCCAAATTCTGTATCGTATCATTCTTTATATTATTACTAATTACGCTATACCTTAGAGATTCTACAAGTATCCCTATTTAATAAATCCCGATAAACAATACTTAGTTGCTATGACCGATTTGGGATAACCCATAATTTACCAGCTGGTATTACTTCTCTACTCTTTTTAATTGATTATTTATAATGACCAACTTAAACATATAACCTTTGTAACCTTTCCAAGCCTATTGACCCAACAATCTCTTTATGCTTCGACAAATGTGACGTAACCTGTAAACCAAGAACGAGTAACCACGCGGCGCATGTTAGCGTTATATGAGAACGAAATTTTATATAATATTAAAAAGATATGTTAGTTCAAATTACACTATTATATAAACTTAAATATTTTAACCTATATATTTAAGTTAAAAATATTTTAAAAAATGCGTCTTTTTGCAGAGCGTGTCGTCTGGGTCTTTCTTGTTGAATGCTGCCCACTTAGCACGGATGCACGGTAGAGATTCAACTCAAGAGGATTGTGGATATCATTCGAAGTTAGGAAGTTACGGAAGAAAAACTGGCTTGTCGGAAGCTGTCGTAACCATACCAGAGGAAACTAAAGACCCATCGGATTCATTTTGGAATGGTGTTAAGAGGGGGTCGGCATCAGCGCCGGACGTGACGTCAGTGGCCAGCTCGACACATTTCACCGTCGTGAACGGGTTCACGAAACACCGTCCTGGAAAAGAACCAAAGTCATGCTGCTGCGACCATTCCCATCAGGTCACTGTCCTCGTTATATCGATGACCATATTGTTTTCGGCCTGTATATTAGCAGCAATATGTTTTGTTGAAAGTGAGTGAATAATTTTCTGTCTGAATTATTAACCCTTACTTAGTTGTCTATAATAATTATTCACATTTATTTTCTTTTGCAGTGAGAATGCGTAAGGAGACGGGAATGTACAAATATTCTTAACTACAAGAAGATTGACGCTGATCTTGCACTAAAAGTATTAGTTAAAACGATACGCTATTATATTTATTAAATCCTAATTACTTGTATTCCATTCATAAGAGCATTATAATTAGAGATAAATTAAGCACGACTGGCGTTTGTTACAAACAATATTAAGTCATAAATGGAAATTAATAAGTATAATTAAAGTTATTAATTTCATATCATACGCATAATAAAACGCATATTGTGAATGCACATTTGAAAGGTTAAATGTGCTTTCAATGGGAGGCTAGTTAAGAACGAACCTTGTAATAGGTATCCCTCAACGCGTGAGATTAAATTAATAAACAGACAGACAATGGTGAACAATATGAGATAATTTAAACAATAACTTACTGATTTTTATATTATTTTCCTACGTGCTCGCGTGCATTAAATCACAAATTACTTGCTTCACATGTATGTTTGTCACGTTTAATATAAATAAAAAGATTATTAATAGAAAAATTGTATGAAACTTAGTTAAATAGGTAGAACAATAAATTAGTGCAATAAATAACCCAGTTAATGTATATATAATGGAGTCAATGAATTTTGACATACTTAGAAAACTTGAAAGTTAAAAAAATAAAAAAGTTATTGACAACATTTCATAATAATTTTAACTATATCTATAATATTAAAAGACCAAATGCAAGAGAATCACTCGATGGTACCACTGCTAGCTAAGACGTCATTTCAGGTATTCATATTTTAAAATAAGTTTATTTTCATCTTACAATAATAAAACAAATGTTGTTAGTTTCTTAAATGTTGTCAAACGCTTTTATTTATGTGGAATCCTTGTTTAAATCAATTGATTAGTCAATAAGTAATTTAAATTATAAATAAGTCTTTCATGATTATTAAAGATATGTAAGTAAGATAACGTCGTAATAATTTCTCGAATCGCTTGATTCAGACATTGTTTAAAAGTAACGAAAATGGAACAGAGATTTTTGTTTTGAAGGAAAAAGGTGCACATTTTCGTTTCCTAATGAAAATTTGCATCTTTTGTGGTTTTGTCAAGTGAAGTTTTTAAATGTTTTATGATGAATTAATGAAATTCGATTGGAATTTAGAAAAATAAACGAATATAAGTAAAGAATGCTACGGTTGAACTGTGATAAAACTGATATGAATTAATAAAATTTTATATTATTTACAAGCTTACCGTTTAGTTTTCATTTTAAAGGCCTTACTAATAATAATTAATGTTATGTTTTGTCTTTTTCTCTCAAACTGAAAGTCACATTGAAATGACGTTAACAAAGCTGTGTAACTAAACGAAGGTTATAATTTTTCTTATTAGGTATAAGACAATGAGTATGAACGTCAAATCATAGTAAAGCCTCATCATCTGAAGTAGGACCATGTAGGTCCTAACTGGAAATGCCGGTGACCCATCAATTATCATTAGCTTGTCCCGTTCCATCAAAGTAACTAAGACTATACCAATAATAAAAAGAGTTAAAGATATTAACTTTGTTTTTTTTATCAATTCGTAATTATTATTTATTTACAAAATATTAAAACTACTTATCTAAGCTACGTCTAAAAATATATTAGATAAAAAATATATCCGCTAAATCATTGCCAACAGGTAAGGTGCCCAGAAGGCTGCGAGCGTTTCCTCCTTTACTTTTGTTTGTTTATCTTCGGAAATACTGATCTGAACATGAAAATTCTTTCACCTACGGGAAGCTACATGGAGAGCCCATGTATGGGCGCTACTTATAGGCTATTCACGCGGATGAAGTTGTGGAAAAACCGCAAATTTTTACTAAAATAACTTAGATCTCTACCAAATGAAATAAAGACGTAACAAGAAGTCTATGGGTCAGTAACGATTAATTTGCTCCGAAAGTAATAGAACGCACGAATTGTTTAGAGAGCACATAGAAATCGGTGACCTTAACACGGAAGGTATATGAAACGGTATAGTTTATATTAAGTTTTCAAATTTTCACTTGGTTAATTTGGACCAAGCCCAATTTGAACTCGCGCTTGGCCGGTTTTTTACCCTGATACGGTGATGAATTCATATTCACATAGTTCATAGTGGTTTGATAAAACTAGGACTTATTAACGTAAAACTTAAGTTATTGAGAATAATCAATAGAGATTTTATACTTTTCTCAATTCAGAACCCGGTTATATATGAGGGGGAACTCTGTTTAATGTAATGTCAATCTATATAATGAATCTGCTGCTGATTGATGCAGCTGAGCAAGAGTATCAAGAATGGAAAAGGTAATAATACATTTTCAAACAGAGGACTTTTTCGAAAATCACATGGAAATGAACATTATGATAAAAATACAGAAAACTACTTTCTATTAATGTAATAGTAAAAGAATATTTTGTTCTGATACCTAATAGTAGGGGAGCCGAAGCGGGGATTTCGGGATTTACTAAAGCGCGGCAGATTAATATACAGGGGGATACCTTGTACCCAGTTAAGTACCTGGACCAAGTATGAGCCCTATAAAAATGGCCGCCCGGCAAGGACGAAGGATCAGATTAGTAAAAAAAAAATTGATCATCTGAATATCTCGAGCGCGTCAGATTAAGGTAAGGTGAGTTAGTTACATGCTAAAAGGTGTACATACCTCTAATCTGACAATTTGAGAGTGACGTAAAGAAGGGGGAAGGCTACAAAGTTGTAAAAAAAACGTCACTTTGACATTCTCGAGCGTGGCTAATTTTTTTTTTTATTTTGAAGGGAATCATTCAAGTATTACGAAAAATATATAATCTGACGATTGTCACAAGCCGAAGTAATAAAAATTCATCGATAAGATTTAATGCGTTTAAGCTACGTGATACCTATATTTCCTTCTCCGCATCACTATTTCTCTCTCTTTTTCTGTCTATTACTCTCTCATTCCATCCCCACTCTGGTTTCGGTTGCCATGACGCCATGACAGCTGATGACACAGACTCGTTCGTGGCGTGATATTGTTTACATCGTATTTCCAACGTTTTTGCTTAATTTGTTATTTTAAGAGAAGAAGAGGAAGATGATTCTAGCGATGAAGATGATAATTAATAAAAAATACTGTAAAAATTAAATTTTCATATAATAATTTTCTTATAAATATAAATATTTTACAATAAAAAACATACACTTTTTTATTTGCATGCTAACTCCGGTGCTTTTCTATTTAATTAAGCTCAAGGATTTGAAAAAATAAAATAAAATTTTTTTTTTAGTGTCAGTTTAAGTAAATCCCTTCAGATAATCGTCAGATTATGAGATATCACGTCTGGGGCATAAAGATGAACCATATATATCTTAATCTGACGCGCTTGAGTATTTCAAAATGGCGATTTTTTTTTGCACATTCTAATAATGGTCACGCGTTTGCGTCACATCCAAATCGTCAGATTATTATATGAGAGCTTTTTTTAGGTTCACTAGACATCCCCTCAAAAAATCTGACGCGCTCGATTAAATATTTTTTTTTTCATTTTCAACCCTTACGTATAACCACCCCCATCATGAAAACGATCAGATTAACATACGACAGTTTTTAAAAATGCGTAGGACATGGATATTAATATCTGACGCGCTCGAGTATGTCCATACATTTTTTTTTTACATTTTTAAAAATCTATAGCCGCTTCCCCCACCGATGATAAGGTATATATTATATGAATTTTTTTTGTTATCATCTCAGCTTCGCAACCCAATAGGTCTCTATGACGCTCGAGTAAATCCCGATTTAGCATCGTGGGCTCCCCTACTATAAAATATTTTTTTATACGTCGAAGCAAAGATTCTTAACTAAAAAAACAAAACACGGCGTAAACTCCGTCGCAGATTTGAAATTTGGAAGGTACATTTTTCTTATTTTATTACGTAGGAGTATACTGAGTATGGATGAAAGGAAGTATGAAAGAACGTGTGGTGAATATCTTTATAAAAGCAGTAACAATGATGAATTAATATTAAATTAATTTAATTATTACACTCATAATTATTTTGCTAAATGTGTGGTCTTAGATGTTAGAAAGGACTTAATTCCCTAAGTGAAATCTTTCAAGTAAACACCATTGTAAGACATTTCTTTATTTATAACCGACCCATAGTCGCCAATGAGTAATAGGTGACGGAATTCTGACGCCTTCGCTTGTTCTGGCATGCAGAAGTTCATATATTTTTCATACAAAGCAATTAAAATTCCCATATTTTGCCGCTATCATCATCAAAGCAGCGTTCTATTCATTGCAAGCTATACAGGACATATTACAAAGAAGTTAGAAAAGAGAGAATAAACTAGGGGGCGGGGAAGGTTATTACTACATAGCATCTGAATCTTTACCAGGCAACCCATGATTAAAGAGGGTGATGCAAGACGAAATAGATATATCTGAATAAAATATGTAAAATAAACAAAGCGATATATATTACAGTATTATGAGTCTTCAAGGAAGTGTTTATGCAACAAAACAATGTAAAGTGCGAGCCTTCCTAATGGCTTCAGGCAACGAATTCCACAGACGTACCGCATGCATGGTTATATTTCTGCTAATCTTTACACTCCTACAGATTTCAAATAGCAAATATCTACAAAATAGAATTGCATATAAAATAAAGGTACCGAATTAATTAATAGAGGAACATAATGTAACATAAATCCAGATACATTCACATCCTATTTCGTGGTAATATTTGAATCTTCAATAAAATTTAATAGTAGTCATAATTAATTGTTATCTCATGCGTAGCGCGACATCATAAAGCTTAACACATAAATTAATCTATTTTAAAGATGAGAAACATGTTGTACAACATATAAATATTTGCATTCCCACTAGTTAACATTTTTTATTTGTGGTGAAAAGCAAAAGAGCTTTCACAAATTTTGTTGTTGAATCAAGCTAAGAACTCTCAGCATATGTAAACAATAATTCCATTCAAAATGAAAAACATGACAATTGCTCGTCTGAATATGATTAGTGGCTATTTAGTCAGTTCACACATTAAGTCCAATCATGACTATTTATCAAGTGCGACAGTTTAGAGTAGCATAGAGAGTAACTGAAATAACCAATAAGTCAAATTTAAATATAGTCATAAATTAAAGACGGCGTCATAGCGAGTGGCATCAAAGCTGAGAATGCAGAAATACGGAAGCCAAAACACATTTGTAACATTAATTCATAGAGATGCCTATGGGCCAAAGTAAAAACTATAAAAAGTGAGTTTAGACAAATGAATATTTCTTACAATAAATAAATTAAAAAAATATATGTTTTGAAATGGTATTAATATTGCAATAAGATTATTCTTCTTTGTAATATTTTTATTTGATGAAATATAAAATTGTGATTTTTTTATGAAAGAGAAATATTGTTTAAAACAGTACTCACCTCTACTTCCTCTAAGGTTTGGGTCCATCTATAGTGTTCAAGGTCACAGCCATTCCCAGAGTTAGGTTTCAATTTGCCCTTCTCCTTAGGATCATCTTCTTCATCAGGAACCTCTGTTTCCATTTCTTTCGGAGAGCTCCCACTAGCACCATCACCACTGCCATCTTCTACTTCTATCAAGAGAGATCAACAATAAAATAACAAGCATCGATATTTATATTTTTGATATTTTATATGTGAATTACTTTCTTTAAGAAGGATAAAGAAATTTGATTTAGTTTGAGGACATTCCTTTCACAATTGTTTATTTTGTAAAGATTACTTATCCATTTGTATAAAATGTTTAGAAATAAGATAAGCTGTTGGTTTCTTAATAAGAAAAAAAAGCTGTAGGTTTCCTAATAAGAAAAAAGCTGTTAGTTTCCTACTAAAATAAGCACATAAAAAAGTGATGGATAAATAAATAAAAATGGTAGATGACTTCTATAGGCTCTGTAGTATATATGTAGTACTTCTGTAGTATATGTGTTTACATAAAGTTGAAATTCAAGCAATTCATACACCTGAGTATGTACACTCCCTTGAAACCTTAAAAAATTAAACTTCTAAATTAACCTAGAATCATGACCATATTAATGAGAAAAGCAAAATACAGTCAAACATTTACTCTGCAAAAACTCAAATTTTGAATCTTTAAAGGGAATTAAAATAGATAAGGTTCTTCCCGTTAAACTTTTCTAACCAGCAAACTATTCATTTGTAATTAAATTTCAAAAAGATATAGTATTATAACTGCCCTATATCGCCACTTGCAGAAATTTGAAATACCGAAGCTACTAGTTCAACTGAAGTATCATATAAATGCTTTTTTTATTTAGTATTAGTAAGAAAATCTAAAAGAGCAGTCCAACTCGCTCTTAGCCAGTTTTTCAATAATGAATAAAGAATGACCTATAAATATCTACAAAACTAATTTTCAAAAGAAGTTACAGATCATAGTAAAATATACTTAATCATCGCATCATGAAATAAAATCATCAATGAAATAAAAGGATTACTTTTTTTCTTATTTTTGTCAAGTTCTTCCTGCATTTCAACTGCCTCTTGGTCAGTGAGTTCTACAACTGATGCAGGTTCAAAATCCTGAGCTAATCTCTCTTGCTCTTTCCGCTGCTGAATTTCTTTAAGTCTTTTGTCTGCTTCCTCTTTTTCTTTCTTTATTTTGTTTGCTTCTTCTCTAGCCTTTCTTGCATATTCATAGAATGTATCTTGTAAAACCTAAAAAATTAGATAATTATAATACATAAAATTTAATAATTTTAAGTATTATATGTCTGATGTTATAGATAACTATAAATAAAATTATAAATATAATCCACAGATATATATATTAAAAGCACTTGTACCATTGAACACCCTTACAGCAAAACATCAGCAGCCTGATAGTGTGCCCACTGTTGGGGCACAAGCCTACCCTATAGATAGAATTGAATACGGAGAATAGGGTGAAATATTCAAATAATCATAAAACATGTTTATGAGTTGTTTCATGTAATAAGTACAAATAAAATTAAAAGCTTATTAAAAATTAAAATTGTATTGTATATTTACTGAAATAAAATAATGTGCAGTTATATTCTTTTACATAATATTCTATTCTATACCTATAAGAACAAGGATTGGACTTATCCATAGAATGAAACACAATAACAAAATATAAAGAACCAATACATGTTGAAAGCAAATTAGTGGATACTGATAACAAAATATAGCAGAGACTCACAAAATACCACATAAAGCAATGGAAAGACATAGTCAATTATTATTTGGTCACTAATACATTGAAGGGCATTTGCTGATTAGCATTTATAATTCAGACATTAAGAAAACTATTTGACTACCTACTAAAATATGACTTTCAGGAAGACAGAATTACTTACTTTTTCCCACTCGCCTTCTTTACCACCGGTGAAGAAGTCCGTTTTTCTTGCAAGAAAACTTACTATGGTTTTAAGTAACTGTAATAAATAAATATAGTGGCCAATATTATTTCATAATTAATACAAATATCATACTAATTTTATTATTACATGAGATCGAAAGCTCCATACAACTTAATTTTTTGAGTAAGACAAAGAAAATAAGTGAGGATATGAGAAATAAATTACTAATAACTCACGTCTTTTACGCCACCCTCGTGTTGCTGTGCCATGGCTAATAGCATAGAATCAAATCTTTCAGGATCACTAGCCATTATAGTAATACAATTCAGTATCTTGGCGACACTATACTCTCATGCAATCAGAAACTTTCGATCAAACAAACCAAAAACCTCAAATTCGAAAACTAACCAACTTCAAACGGAATGAAAACAATTTTCTAGCAAATTTTGACATCTGTCAATTAGGCATGTTGATCCAAAATCAATTAATCGAAATATAATCGATTCTTCAGATCGATTTTGAATGTTTCAACGATTCTTGATCAATTGATGAACCCCTCGAATCGGACCGATTCAATTCAATTCAAGAACTAGCAATATAAACTTCCTAAATTGGATACGATATTTTTGTTTTTTTAATATTTTGTTGTTGTTGGACGCATTGATAATTTGAAAGCATAAATATTTGTTAACGCATTCGAATGTCAGTATAGTATAGTTTTCGCTACTGTCACTGTTACTCCAGCCCGTGGAATCATCCATATATCGCCCGTCTATTATAACAGATTGCCTGATTGGTCTCCTACAATTCCTACATTACTTGCATAAAAACATTGCCGGCAATCTTCTAAGTGGGAATTAACTGGCAGTGTTGGGTAAATTTTTAATATTTTATTTGAATTTAATTTAGTATATCGATTATGTATGGACTAGACACAAAGGCAAATATCTGCAAATTTCAGTTAAAAATAATGGAAATGATTGTCTTTGGTTCATTCGTTTTCTGCATAAATCAACTTTTGCTAGATCCATTAGTAAGATGCTTTATAGTCCTTTCTTTTTTTTTAAATACTTCCTGATTCATGACGTTAGATTAAAGACCACAGATTATGTAGTTTAAAAACAATAGAATGAGGAAGTATTTAAAAAAGATAAAAAACTACAAAAATGTATGTCACTAGATGGCAGCACAAATTGTTGGATCTAAACGTCAATTCATGACGTTAAACAAAAGAAAATAGAATTGTCAGTGTTGTATGGTTCTGATAACTTGGATTAATATCGAGTTGAAATTTAATTAATTCGAGTTATGCAAACCCAACTCGATTAATACAAAATAATCTTGTAATAAATTTCTTTTTTTATTTGTATAGAGGAAAATGGAAACTAACGTAATGGAAATAAGCACAGAGGTTTCTTTTTTAATTTATGGAAATCAATTGAATTAATGCTGTGATATAATTAAAAGTGGCATTAAGCTACGGTATATATTGTATACCGTAGCTAAATGCCACTTTTAATACCGCCAAATAGTTTTTATAAATAAAATACTTATGCCATTGGTCTAGGAATTTTTCATTATAATATTTAACAAAAGTTCTGCAAACAGTAACAACTAGGTCAGTTAGTTTTATTGCTATTAGTTATATGTTGAACTTACAAAAACAAAACTAAATCAAGTCTCAATAATATTTTTATATTAGGTATGGTGAATCTTGCATGTTGACGGCGGACGTCGAGGCATGTGTTAAGTTAATTCGAACGGTGGGTATATGCTTATTGGTTCTTACAATAATATTGTTAATAATAGATTGACATAACCTACTCTAGAAATCAGTTTTATTGAAATATATTATTTACTAAATACCTAGAGTAGTCATGCTCTCTTAAAAATCTCTGCAGTGGTGTCGTGTGCGTTAGGCCGTTACGTTCCCTCAAATATAGTATAGTTGAAATTAAAAAACAGCCCTTGTAGTGTTGCGAACCCTTGGCAAATTTTTCGACTTTCACAAATACTATGTAACAGCCTAGACTGAATTGATTTTGATATTTTATATTAACATCATTCGTTTTGTGGATGCATATAACGACAAAAAAAAAAACAATACAATACAATACAATACAATTCTGCGCTCCGCTTTTTGTTCTTCATTCTAAACCTGAATTCGGATGAAAGTTACGAGCAACCAATAAGTTGGTTTATCACTAATGTTGACATATCAACCAAATATCGTTCCTTTACACGAAACATAATAAACAACTTAAACTTACGATTAACATAAATAAAAAATTATTTGAAAATTGGATATTATAAGAAGCACAAAGCGATGTCATATTTATTAATTTTCGATACTTAATTTACTTTTATTACGTCAGAAACAAAATTTGAATGAATATCATAAACAAAATCTAAACAACGCGAGTAACATCTAGTATGATTTCAAGAACTAGTTTTTATTTTTTAAATACTTTCTCATTGTTAGTGTTGTTATGGATCTAATAACTCAGATAAATATCGAGTTGAAATTCAATGAGGAAGTATTAAAAAAAGGTTCCAGAAATCAAACTAGATGCCGCTACGGTACGTTCTTGATTTCTTCATGACAACCTTTGCGATTTTAATTAAAGTTTAAAGGTAAATTAGTTTTCAAAACTTAATAAAAACTCATATTCTATTTGTACTATTTTCGTATTTGTATTGATGTCTAAGTTGCGAGTTTTTCAAATTTTTGGTTGGCGGAGGAAGTATTAAAAAAAATATATTAGTTCCCAAAATCAAACTAGATGTCGCTATGATACTTTTTTGATTTCTCTATAACAACTCTTTCATTTTTCTTCATGTATAAAAGTAAATTGATTTTCAAAACTTACTAAACATATTCTATTTGTACTTTTTCGTATTTGTATTCATATCTAAGTTTCAAACTTTCCAAATTTCAGTTTTTTTATATATTAGTTAGAGGAACGGAATAGGGTATTTGACACTTTTCTGAAAACTATTTTAAATCGTTGTTTGCTACATTATAAAAACACTGTCTTTGTATTTCATAGAAATCTTTTCTATTTTTGCCGAATATAATTGTTAAAATTTAAATATCCAAAATCGCGCAAAAAACGCTGCTCTATGTAATGGTGCTGATCGTTACGTCACAGGCCAGAAAATATGTCAAATGGATAAGTACGAACTGTCTCTATAGTAAATTAAAATAATAATCTATACTCCATTCATTATAATATTAGAAAAAAGAGGGTCATTGAAGCAGCAGTGAAGAACACAAGAAAATTTTATTTTCAAGATAAATTTAAAAAATATAAATAACAATATAACTTTATTTAATAATATATATATAATAATATAACTATATATAATATATATTTTGATAGTCTGAAAGAGCTGAGCAATTTTCTATTTTTTACGATACCTCAGGGTTGAGAAGAGGCCAACATTATTAAATTCTTCTTTTTCTCCCAAGCCAACATGGAACTAAAACTATCTATCTGTTGATTTGATTATAATTAGAATAGAATTTAGTTATATCTATGCCCAGTAAAGTAAACAAAATGAAATTTTTATTATTACTTTTATAACATTTATTCAGACATTAGACTTTTGATGAAAACATTGGAAAAACTTCTTGAAATGTCAAAGGTTTAGGGTAGGTATGGGGGCTTAGAGCGTAATTGTTGTAGGCCACTCGAGCCTGCACCGGCATCGTCCATATTTAATAAAACCTTATAACAAAATCAAAACTATAACAAAACAATAATAAAACAATTACAACTTAGTCACAGAAAACGGTAAAACAACAAGAAAAGCAGTAGCATTCACAATTTACGTATTTTGATAATTATGAATACATCATAGTCTGACAAAATTAAAAAACTGTACTGCCGAAGCGTTTGAAGGGATTAGGCAACGTTTTAAATTTGATAGAATTATAGTGACATGAGAATCGTGCCGAAACTATCCAACCCTGCTTCTTTGGGTTCTTTAATATGAACAATCTTTATTGTAGTAGTTATTAAATCATTTAAGTGAATCACATACTTAAAAATTTGTTTAATAGATTGCTTAAATGACAACAGTTAAGTATAGCAGCTGGTATTTAAGTGAATATGTAGCAAATTAGCCGTCAGTCTTAAGAGATGAAGATGATTATTGATATTTTGTCACAAAGTATACCATAAAAAGAACCTTATTTAACTTCCGTCCAATGCTATAATGAATGGAGTATAGAAGATAAATTGAAGTCGTAGTGCGTATTTTTTACGTTGTTTATTTGCCTCTACTCTGGTTTTATTTATAAAATGAGCTACAAGTGGAGCGTAGTGCCACAATTTACTAATACTTCTATAAATATTAAACAAACTTCGAGTCTAGAAGAAAATAGATTCACAATATCACAATAGATTAGTAACTATATAGAGTAGAGATGGGTGATAAAATTAGGTAAGGATTCGCTAAAAGTATTGAAACTTTTTTATTTCATATCGATACTTTTGAAGGTTTTCTGTTTGTTTTTTTTTCTATATCATAAACATTTTACGACCCATTTATATTTGTCGACAGAGCTCGCACTTCACAGCCTTTCGACCTACAGATGGATGAGACATTAGTACGAAAAAGAATATTTTAATTTTTTATACTTGCATGTTGTATATCTGTCCCTAAATGCATGGCACTCGATATTTTGGAATCAGATCCCGATTACTTTTTTTCAATTAGTTTTTAACTTGGAGAACAGGAAATATCATCAAAATTGACTTTTTAATTTTGAATTATTATATTAAAGTTCAAGAAATGAGAAAACATGTAAATTGCTCTTATTTAAATTGCTGGCGTTTTCTTTATTTTATTTTTTAAAAAGCTTTAACTAAGATTCCTTTTTTCTGTAGTTCTTATTAGCAGAAGCGGCAAAGTTTTCTGTTATCTGTAAATTACTATAAAGTACTCGATACTTACAGGCATCGATATTTTACGTATCTTTCTAACACTACTTTGACATGACAGCTGATGACGTCACAGGCTAGTAAACAGAATCGTTATTAGTTTTGACGACCACCAATCATAAGACGTTTTCGTCGTTGAATAAATTCCTAAAAATATTGCATTTTCTTTACGTTATTTTACTAAATCTTCTTTTATTTTAATAGGGTATTTGACACTATCGAAAATAAGTTGCATTTCGTGGTCATCTTGATAGATAATAATCTAATAAAGCTTATTTCTTATCATCTGCAGAAAAAACATGTTTAGATTTAGTAAAATAACGCAATATTTTTAGGAATTTATTCAACGACGAAAACGTCCTATAATTGGTCGTCGTCAGAACCAATAACGATTCTGTTTACTGGCCTGTGACGTCATCAGCTGTCATGACAAAGTAGTGATAGAAAGATACATAAAATATTGATGCCTGTTGGTATCGAGTGCTTTTTAGTAATTTACTGATAACAGAATACTTTGCTTATCGCTTCTGTTGATAAGAACTGCCAAAAAGAAATACAGAAAGAAATAATCATTTACTAAGCTTTTAAAAAAATCGAAGAATTAGGGAAAACGCCAGCAATTTAAAAAAAGAGCAACTTACATGTTTTTCTCATTTCTTGAACTCTAATATAATAATTCAAAAATGCAAAGTCGATTTTGATGATATATACTGTTCTCCAAGTCAAAAACTAATAAAAAAATCATCGGGATCTGATGTCTAATTATCAAGTGCCATGTCTGTCCATTATCAAGTGGATAGACATACTACATGCATGTATAAAAAAATAGTACATTATTTTTCGTACTAATGTCTCATCCACCTGTAGGTCGACCGGCTGTAAAGTGCGAGCCCTGTCAACAAATATAAATGAGTCGTAAAATGTTTATGATATAGAAAAAAAAACAAAAAGAAAACCTTCAAATGTATCGATATGAAATAAAAAAGTTTCAATATTTTTAGCGAATCCTTACCTAATTTTATCACCATCTCTACTCTATTTTTGCTACTAATCTATTGTGATTGTGAATCTATTTTCTTCTAGACTCGAAGTTTGTTTGTTATTTATAAAAGTATTAGTACATTGTGGCACTACGCACCACTTGTAGCTCATTTTATAAAGAAAAGTAGAGGAAAATGAAAAACGTAAAAATTACGCACTACGACTTCAATTTCTCTAGACAGTTGCTACTTATCGATTTGACACATTTACTGGCCTGTGACGTCACGATCAGCGCTATTATATAGAGCAGCGTTTTTCGCGCGATTTTGGCTATTTCATCATCATCATCATCATCATCATCATCATCAGCCCATATTCGTCCACTGCTGGACATAGGCCTCCCCAATTGCACGCCATCTATTTCGATTTTCGGCTGTTCGCATCCAGCTCCTGCCAGCCATCTTGCGCAAATCATCGCTCCACCGCGCCTGAGGACGTCCTACACTACGTTTGCCGAGACGCGGTCTCCACTCAAGAACTCGTTTACCCCAACGGTTATCGATTCTGCTGCTTATATAATATTTTCAGAAGTGTCAAATACTCTATTTTACAACCATAAACTATAGAGTCAATAGACCAATAACCAATCAGATAGAGGTGTACTCTGTACTTTACTCTTTGCAGAAGTGAAAGAAAGTGTCAATGGAGGTCATGCATTTGTATGCATTTTGTTAATACCTATATTGATAAATGAAGTCGAAATAATTCACTATAAGTCTGATGATTTTTTATGCCGTGATGTGCAAATGTGAACAGGTTCGTGTAGTTTAGTTATTGTCATCGAAGTATGAAAGTTTTGTTTCATCGTCGTCAATCATTAATTTCGGCCCATCTGAAAGTTTATTTTTTTTTACAGGATTACAAGCCAATAACGTAGTAATGGCAGATCAGTTTTGTTTACGTTGGAACAATTTCCAAACAAACATCGTCAGTGCATTAGATTCTCTCAAATGTTCGGAGGATTTGGTAGATGTTACTCTCACTTGTGAAGGCAGAAACATCAAGGCCCACAAAGTCATACTGTCCGCATGCAGCCCGTACTTCAGGAATGTGTTCAAGGTGAATGACTGGGGACATTCAATAACCTTCGCATTTGTGCTAACGTTTGCAAGTTACATGTCTTTAAGTGGTTAAATGAAAATGTTTTGTTTTGTAAACATTGATCAACCCTATGTTGCGACTACGATTGTTAAGTCTGTGGTTTGTGTATTTAATTATTTGAAAAGTAATAAAAATCTATTTATTACAGGAAAATCCCTGTCAGCATCCAGTAATAATACTGAAAGATGTATCAGCTGATGATATAGTCAGTTTGTTGTCCTACATGTATCAAGGCGAAGTGTTCATTGAAGAAAGTAAGCTGTCTTCATTTTTGCATACAGCGGCACTATTACAAGTTAAAGGACTGACAGGTGTAACACAACAGGTAATTCTTTTTCCAACTATAAAATCATTTACATTACAATTTGTAGTTTTAATAAGTCTAATAATTATTTATTTAAGATTGTTGAGGGTAAAGGAGAAGCATGGTATATATTTTATAATTAGCTACTAAAAAGTAATTTTGGCAAAAAATGTAAGATTTGATACAAGAGTTCATGCATATATTTAATAATAAAAGTTTACATTCTTAAATTTGTCAATTATTAAAAGAACAACCAATATTTTATAGAACATTGATTGGATTCTTGATTTTTAGTTTATCAAAGTGTCAAGGCAATCTGTTTTAAATGTACTGCATTTTAGTTAGTCTGTACAGTTTAAAGATTTGCTTTAGTACTTAATGATTTTTGAGTTATACTAACTTTTCAGAAGGAGAATGTTACTTCACCAAACACTTCTAACAAACTTTACACACAATTGACAATATCTTCTAAGTCTACATTTGGTGCTAATCATAAAGAAGCAAAGTTACCAGCATTGAAAAAGAGAAGAAGCAGCACTTCCGATAAGCCTAATGATGTTACCATTGGTGATAGCCATAAGAAAAGTCGTGTACTAGATACATGTGATCTTTATAATAGGAAAGACATTTCTCAGTTAACTAAAACAGATTATGCTGTGTTTGTTCATGATAATATTGGAGAGAAAAAAAGTGATAGTAAAAATGAGCAAAATGTGACTACTAATGGAAAGCCATTGATATCAGCACAGGTAATTTAAAAAAAATATAACAGTTTCTACTTTTTACTGAATTTTCTTGGCTATTGGCCTCTTAAAATTGAACTATAAGTTTAGTTACTATTGCCACTTTGTGAGTATGATTTAATTTAAAATTCCAGTTAAATTCGCACGGAGATAACATTCCAGTGACTATAAAAGCAGAACAAATTGATGATGAAATTCCTCAAGAACTGTCAAAAAATACTAATTACGAGAATGATGAGAGTCTTCCAGATTATGAAAATAGCATGTTAGCTAGATCTTTGCTATCTGGTAAGTAAATAAAATACATTCTCTATTTCTATTCTGTTGTGAACTTCACCTGTCATATTTATGTATTGCTTTCAAATTTTCTTAGTTGTTTGCTTTAATAATTTTGCAGGCATTAACCCTTCCAAGAATGATGTGAGTGCCAATATCGTAAAAAAAGTGGTAAGTGTAGATCTTCCTACAACACGATCAAAAGAAACAACAACAGAATCAATCAATTTTACAAATGCTATGTCTAAAAGTCCATTAAAAACTCTTGCATCAGAAGAGCTGCTAGTGAAACCTGAAAAACAGTCACCCAAATCAGAAACTGAATACGAACCTGAAGTTTTATTATCCGAACACCAAGATGGTATGGACTCTGAGAACACTTACTCACAAGAGCAATCTCAAGCGTTATTGCTGTTAGCAGGCATGTCAACAGTCTCTGTTCTTGGTTCAGGGGCCTCGACATCCCAAGGCATCTCTCATCAGCAATCAAATCATGCAGCTATATGTGGAGATTGTCCCCACTGTGGAATGAAATATTCGAATCAATCTGCCCTAAAATATCATGTAAGATTAATGCATTCAGATTTGACTAATCGATTATGTTGTTATTTATGTCCAAGATCTTTTACAATGCGAGAGACTTTTAAGGAACATATGTGGACAAGTCATGGTCAAAGAAATTAATTATACTTATGTTATAAAGATGTGCCTTAAATTGTTATTGCCGTGTGGCAGCTAATATGAGACATGCGCTTAAGTGCCTTTTGATGGAATTATGCCTTGTTAAATATCTTTAGATAAACATAGAAATATAGAATAAAAGAAATTATTTATATGATGTTACGTTTTGTGACTTTTGAATGAATTAAAAATGCATAGATATTGCATTGTGATATTGGTTTAGGATTGATATGACTAAACAAGGACGTATTTTACTTTCTGCAAGATCTATTTATTATTTTGTTGATATTAGAGGCATGTAACATGTTACCGATGTTTTCCATTAGACTCCCTAATGATGCTATTAGAAATCTTTTATTCAAGATATCATAATTTGTATATAGTTGGAATTTAATTTTTAAATAATCAAGTTTTTTTTTTATATGGTGATAACTCCCAATATTTATAAATATGTGAAAAAGGTTATCATTTAGATATTAGACTTTTTAATATTTTTTTGATTTTGTTCATAAAAAAATTGAGTGTTTATTATTATATATAATATGTTTTTTATATTGATAAACAATATTTAAATGGTTGTATCATAAAGTGAGTATAATGGAAAATCTTTTATTTACACATGCCTGATGTTTTTAAACTAGAATTTATGTGTTTTATAATATTATTGAATATAGTAGTCTATATTTCAGAGGTGCGTACTAATACTTAGTACCTATATTTGAAACAGTTATATAGTAAGTACTTTTGGAAAATAATTATATTTGGTGCTTTTGGTGGAATTATCGATTAAAATGAAAAAAAAAAACGACTGACAGCACTTGAATGATGCTGATGTTATTACAATATTTTTTACCTAAAATTCTGTATTTAATAGGGTTTATTTTATTTAACTCATTTGCCTTAAATAACTGATGAAATATTTCAAACTTTATATTTATAAAAAATATAATTGGCCTTAAATAATGGATGACAAATATTTTTGTTTTGTGTATAAAAAGAATATTTGTTGTAAGTCTACAACAGGTAGTATACGATTATGTTGAGCATAGTATTATGAATATGGTTGACTTTCTATATGAATTTTCTATATCTATTACAATGTCTTGCCTCTATAGTGCTTTTAAAGGGCAACAAATAATACTGTTCGAATTATAAATTTACATTTTAATTTTAATTTTTTTTTTATATTTTTAGTTCCATTTATTTTGTTTTTTAATTATAATTTAAATGATAATCATTTTAATAATTTGGTGAATAGTGCCAAAATGTAAAAAATAAGTTATTAAATTAGTAGAAATTTATTAGGTATGTTACCAGTTTGATTAACTTTGATAGTATTTTAATTAAGAGAGATATGAAATAGAGTTGATATAAAAATTAAACAGTACTCTGTTTATTTACCACTGTGAAAAATACGTATTCAATTATACAAATAATATTATTTTCGAATGTTGGATAGATATATAGATTTATTAATTCATATTTAATTATTAATGATAAATTATGTTACGTACTGTGAATTGTTAATCTGTTTTTTCAGAGTTTTACAAGATTTACATTTTAAATATTACGTTATGAATAAAAGTATGCTTCTTAATAAAGTCTTTTATTTCGGAGAAAAACTAAAAACAATATTTTTAAATATAACATAGATGTTATTGGTATAGAAATTCGAAATATATATTTATAATATTGAATTTCGCAAATATAAAATGTAATATTTTGATTTTCTTATCGGTTACATAAAATAAATAAATATCGGACAACATCACACACATTGTTCCGGTTCCGAGGTAAGTAGCTTAGGCACTTTTGTTACGGATACCAGAAACAACGGCGGGGATACAAATATATACGTAATATAAGTAGAAAACACCCAAACACAGAACAGACATAATTGTTAATCACAAAAATGTTTGTCCTGGGTGGGGATCGAACCCACGACTCTCGGCGTCATAGTAGGAACGCTACCACCGCGCCATTGATTCTTGCGTTTTTAATTCTAACTATTGGTCAGTTGCACAAACGTCCATTAAGGTTTAATGACGCCTTTAAGCTCTAATGAATGTCAAATTTGTATGGGTAATTTTGCTTTAAACTAATGAAAAATTAAATGGACCTTTGTGCAACTGGCTGAAAATCTACAAAAATAGGCAAAATGCATTGGGTATATTTGTTACGCTCAAAAATCTTAATCGCTCATTTACTGTGCCACAACGTGTTGTAGTGATATCCACGTAGCGGAATTTTTGTCGTATTTAGATACGTGAATACTTCTCCGATAGCCTGGTTACCATTGACCTCCAGCCCGGCTGATGTCAAGCCGGTCATCGGTTCACCGTCCCTTAGTCGCTACTCCGGTCACGGCGCCGCCCGTATCCGACCACTTCACACACCGAACTGTGTGTGCGGCAGCTGGGCCGCGACGTCCTCGTGACCGGAGTGCGAAATGGGAAACTCCCTCTCTTGCGCAGGATGCCCCTCACAAGTCCCCTGGCCGACATAGGCAGGCAAAGGAGCAAGGTGGGAATGTAACCTTCACGGATTCGAAATATCGAGTACGTCATACTCTAACCTAACCTATATATTAATGTTGTCATATCTACTTAATACAAAAATCTATATCCATATCTCACAGTAGTGTGCGCCGTAATCAAATATGGTTCAATATGCTTCATGGTTTTTCTTCATCACCAGAACACGTGGACGATTAGAGTGTTAGCCACGGCACATATTTCGCTATGTGGTTATTCTGTGAAAGCTACCACGCCTGGTGAGCGTTTTTGTTAGATCCATAAAACGAATTTTACATGTGACCACAACGCATTGTTAACTTTTATAGCTCAATGAGCGATTTCGGCTTTGTGCGTAACATATTCATAATATAATAACGACGTGCGAATATGTGTTAAAATCCCAACCAGTGCGAATTAAGTATGTTTGAAACTCTGTGCACATATCGTTACGGATCATCAGCCTGATGCCGCCCGCTGCTGGACAATGGCCTCCCCAAAAATGTCCAGGGTGATTGTTCCGCCCTGTTCTCATCCAACCATCGTTGGAGCTAATCCAAATCCATTTGTGGTATTCTGGTTTCCTGAAAAAGGAGTTTACCATAAGGATCTTTCCCTTCCTTGTGCACGAAAGCGCCAGCATAAGGTCTTATTACGTTAATATTTGTTAAAGAAAGCATTTACGGAAATGAAATTATGGGAAAACACATAAGTGTGGGTGTAGTACTTTGTTTCAAATATAATGGCATTTTCTACTGAAATACTTTTGTTTTGTTTCCAACTGAAATGCTATTTTAGCTTCGCTTTGGTGCGCTATAAGTATTGACGGAATTTTTGAGTAAGAGAAGAGTAAATAATCTTTTTTTACGTCCCCAGTTCAGGGTCTCAGGCCTTCCATAGGGATGGTTAGGAGGATTCAATAAAAAAAATTAAAGTGCTTTTGAACCGTCCAACATTTTTTTCTCTAACCTTCTCATTTTGAAAGTCTAATATTTTTTTTTGTTCGGGATTGATTAAACCGCAAAGAATTTGTTTTGCTGATTTATTTAGATTTTTGAGAATACCTACTCAAAATAAACAACTTACTTTCGATGTGCTAAATAAGAAAAAAACAATCACTCATCAGAAAAGACATAAGTACAACGGAAATTGTAATGTTCATAATAATAACTAGGTCTATGGTAGATTTTATATCTGTCTTTACTGTTTGCTTATGACATATGCAAGACAATGTAGAGTTTTAGAAAAGTCATATCCATACTAGCTATGTAAAGTTTTATTATTAAAAGTTAACAAGCCGCAATTATAAAGGAAAGATTTCATTGTTTGTATCGAATATGCTCCGAAACTACTGGACATATTTTGAAAAAACTCACCTACGGGAAGCTGATCACAGGCGGTTGATATTATAATTTACGCGGGCAAAAAGTCACGAGAAAACATGAATTATAGAATACTACCGTTTCGGCACCGGCTTCTTGGCATGGTCACTAGGGGACCATTTAGTTGTGATAAAAAGAAGCTTATATCTTAATGCAAGCTTAAAATTATCCGTATACCAAACATCTAAAGCCTTTCAGTAGTTTGTCCTTCAGGGAATCACAAACATACATAAATCGTCACAAACTTACGCATTTATAATATCAGTAGGATAAATCTGGCTCCGAAAACGATTTACAAATACTTTAAATTTCTGATGCTTAACATCTACAGGTTTTGAGCTTCATGTTTCAATCAATATTATTTTTGTTCTAAGAACTCTAGGAGAAGTTTCTTCAATCGGTACTTACTCCATATCAAAAAGGCGGTTAGCATTTTTTAGAGATACCAAATCAATCTAAAAAGGTTTTTGAGTTGGTAACTATTTTTATTTGTTTTGAGCCGGTTTTTTTAATAATTATGTTTAATGCAAAATATATTTTATTTTTGTAACTTAAATATACTTGAATATTTTGTATTGATAATGTTACAGGTTAAACGTGTAAGTTACCGGTTCTAAATGATCGGCAAAGGAATATATGCAGTAACTTATAAAAAGCAGTATGTTGGCGAATCTGACAGTTTCCTAAATTACAGATAACAAAGATTTTGTAGTGAGTCATTAAGTTTCCGATACATTTAAAATCCCGGAGAAAAATACATGTCTCATCATGTGTATAGTGAAGTTGCACTGTACTAGACGTATAAAGCATAGCTAGGTTGTGGGTAGGTGTAAGGGTGTTCGAAGAAGCCCCTTAATACGGAGACAGCTCCGCTGGGACGCTATTGATCGTCATCCGCCGTCAGTGGCCGAGGCACACCTATTGATTCGCCGCAATCTGCATGATAACCCGCGCCTGGCTTCTCTACAACACACATAAGAGTACACTTACAATGTACTTTATACACCTAGTAGGTACTACGGTATCTAATCAACCACGATGGACTATTAGCGGGCTCGTTTTGATCTGATTGAGTTCGTGCGCGAAACCTTATTGATTAGTAACTCTTTATCAATGCGGCGAGGAATATTTTTCGTGTTCCTGGACGTTGACGATGAAAACTAGTATGTTAAAGTCTTACAGAGTTATCTGTATTTACCTACATATATTTAATACAAAACTAAAGCAAAAACAGAATCAAAATCAATAGAAAACACTATCAAAGTCCATAAAGATATGGTTGAAAAATTGCAACAAAATTAAATAGATTACCAAATAAATTTATTTATTACTGTATTATAAGATTTGTGAACAAACCTTGAAAATTAAATTATTACAAAGAAGTTATTATTTTTTTTTTTTAATAAATACAGTAAAAAGTTCCTAAAAAGACTTTTTGATATTTTATATTTATTTCAAAGTAATATAGAGTTAGTGAGTTGGTGAACTTCTTATATAGGTACCTACGAACATAGCATTTTGTCTTTGACAAACTTGACTTCGAAGACAGTTAAAAATGAACATTAACGTTTTTGATTTTAGACGCTTTAAGTTTGGGACACCTACTAATTAATCCAAATATTAGCCAAAATAGTCTTGGTAGTGGCCGTTTCACTTACATACTTAGCCCACGCGGAGTAAGAAAGACTCATTATTAAGTTTTTTTTTATTTTGATATTTATCTTAAAATACAAAAAGACCCTTCCAAGATTAGGATGGTTTTACTTTTCTGTAACAAAAATCGCTTCTCACTCAATTAAAAACAAAAAAAATAGAACCTCCATGAAAAAGTAATAAATGTTTTATTACATATATAACATATTTGTGCTTGAGACAGATTTTTAAAAAGTTCTAATAAGATTCATACTTTTGTTTAAGATTCAAAAAGGTATTTATTATAAAGATTTACGTCTTTGAGGTCAACATGAACTATAATTGGTAGAATTTATGTCGAAGTTTTCTACTAATGTTCTTTACCATTATATCCCTTCCCCGGCCCCCAAGATTCAATGTAGGTTCAAAGAAAGAAACGTATCAAAATTATCAAGCGCACTATCCATAATTGAAATAACTTTTGAACGGTTTCATAGCGTCTGTATTTGTCTTTTATTGACGTTTCGAGCCGTTTAAAGGTTCCGCGTTCAGATAAGACTAAGGTGTTGATTTTCTTTTCAATTAAGAGTATAGCTACCTGCAAAACAATACTATTGAATACATTCACAATACAAAATATATATATATATATATATTTTATGGTTTACATTTATTAAATTTAATTATTTTAAAAATATATTTGACTTATTTATATACCCTTGGCTACCGAAACGACAATAAAAGAAAAATACAAACGCGATGAAGCCGTTTAAAAGTTGTTTTATTTATATTTAATTAGTTATTCGCCAAGGTATAAACCTTGTTATTTTTATACTGTACAGTGTCTTTGGACATACCTATTTGTCATCTGAGATGGCAAGGTTTATTAATTTGTCAAATTACTTAGATCAAATTACAGGAGAATAAAGCGGCCAGCTTGCCTAGCATGACGAATACAACATCGCTTCCTCTTCTTTTATTAATGGCTCATCTGCGCATTTCGCTCAATATTGCCAGGTTTAGTGAAAAAATAATTTATATATATATATATAAGGTCATACAACATCACACTCTCGCCGAGAAAAGTGACGTTTGGTGTAGACAACGCATTTCTTGAGTTTGTAATGCTACGCGTGCAAGAGCGAGTTGGAGTTGCGCGCAGAGATTTCTGCACTAATATCAAATTTCAAAAACCATAGACTCTGAAATATATTCTTAATGAAAAATGTTTAAAAATCCACTTTGTCATGACCTTTC